AAAGACGTGAAAGTTCGAGAATGATGTGGCGTGATACTAGTCACGTGACCTCGATGTCGTAACAATACTAATATAAAAAGAAAAGTAAATAAATGACAAAATAGACCAAGAAAAGTACAATAACAAAGTGCTCATTCAGAGTAACCTTTATGATAACAAATTAAAGTATCACTGGATGAAACAAAATTTACTTCAAGAATTATAGAACATATAGCAAAAATGAAATAAAAACATATGCATAAAAATATTTCTTAACCCATTGATTGTGGCTGCTCTAAATGCGTGAAGGATTTTTGCAAGCCGTACACTGTATATAGTACACTCGCATTCAACTGACGGAGATGAGCTGTACCTTATACAGTGAATCAGCAGTTAATGGGTTAAATAACCCAAATTTACCTCTTATCATACAGTATTATATCATTTTGCCTTTTCATATTCACACAAGTTTCTCAACATTTGACTTCTATATTTAAATCCCTCATTTTTATATGTCTTGAAGTGTTGTATGAAAATGTTATTCTATTAAAACTAGTTCAAACACTCAAAACTGTGGAACTGGCATTATGGCAAATAATTAAAAACCTTGTATGTTTTCTTTACTTTACTTTACTTTTTTCAGGAATAATACTGTAAAAAAGTCAAAACTTCAAACAGCATCATAATCTACATTAAATTTTCTTATAACCAAGGGTGGTTAAAGATGCTAAATGACTTTTTATAATCATTTTACTTACATAAGCAAAAATCTTTTGTGCACAACACCCCCTTTTGACAAAACATAAACATTAACCTTTTTTTTCTGACTCAAACTTGGGGGGGGGGGGAAAAGAGTCTTTTTTTCTACATATTTCAAAGAAATACTATTTGAATATTAACCCTGACACCGACATTTAGTCATTCATCTTAAGAATTTTATCTGTAACTCTTGTTTTAAGAACACATTAAATTTATGAAAAATAAATTGTGTTTCATTTTGAAATGAAAATCAGATTCATTTATTTTCATTTTTTCTAAAAAAATGTTTGATGAACAATGATTTGTAGATGAAATTAAAATTCCTTTGTTGCTGATTGCAGATTTCAAACCAGCTCTAACAACATTTAAAATTCTCTAATTTTAGGCTTAAGTTGAAAAGCATGAGAAAAATAGGAAAATATTGCTAATTGTGAACATGCTTGATATAATGATCTCTTTTATTTATTCATGGTGTTCTTTGATGTTTTATTTCAGAGCAAGTTTCTGTTTTATTTGATAATACATATTGTACTCAATTCTAGACTTACTTAACTTTAGATTTTGATATACCAATGAAATGAAACCTGTTTTAACTACAGTTACTATTAAAAAAGGAAATATTATCATAAACTAAATTGTAGTAGAACATTTTTCAAACTAAGGATCTCCAATAAAGTGTACGAGATTCATACAGATAGATTTATTTAATTCTGTAAAAATGATTTAAGGGAATGAAATATATAATAACATGATCTCTACAACCTACAACAATGATTTTAGGAAAGAAAACTTCAAAGTTCTCACTATTTATATTGTAAATAATGATTTCAGGAAATGAAATCCTAGATGACTTACCCTGTATATTTTACAACAATGATTTGAAGAAATGAAATATCATATGATTTACTTCTTACAACCTAACATAATTATTTCAAAAAATAAACTTCAGGTGGCTTTTTCTTTACAATCTACAACAATGATTTCATGAAAGGAAAGTTCAAATGGCTTACTCTTTATACTGTAAACAATAATTTTACAAAACGAAACTTTAGATGACATACTATTTACAAGCTACAACAAAGATATCATGAAAAGAAACTTCAAATGGTTTACTCTTTATACTGTAAACAATGATTTCATGAAATGAAACATCAGATGACCTTCTCTTTAAAATCTACAACAGTGATTTGAAGAAAAAAAGTTAAACTTCACATATATTACCCTTTATGGTCAGCATACAAAAATGACTTCAGAAAATAAAACTGCTGATGACTTACTCTTTAGACTCTACAGCAATGATTTCAGGAAAAGACAACTCCAGCAGCACCTTTTCTGTACCGTCAACAATATACACTCCTGTCCAGTTGATGGCTATAATCATCTCTGTCTTGGGAAGATAAGGTCCTGAGAAACGGAGAACTTCATAAAACTTAGAAAAGTGTAAAGGCCACTTAACTTTGGCATAGTCAACAATGTCTTCTTTGACTCTGTCAGGATGGACTTTTTCTTTGTAATAGTAGCTCTGCAAAAAAGACAAAGCATTTTATTTTTTATCTGATAAAACTGCTAATCTATTTTCACACACAAAAAATGTGTGACAAAATTAAATTACAATTCTGGTGAAGTGAAACGGAAAAAAAATCAGTAAATAATAAAAATCTCAACAATAGTTTTTACTATTTTTATGATATTCCTACCAAACCAAGTGCCAAGACTACACTAATCTACTTGAGCTACAGTATTTATTGTGACTTTACTTTAATTAATTTTACTTAATTCATAGCTTAAAGATTGTGGGTTTACACTACTACTTTAAAAATTACAGCACCTAAATTGTGAAAAAATTGAAGGGTTAACATTGATAAAAGCTGTTTACATACACCAGCATATTTCTACATGTAAAAACTACCATTCTGTATGCAGACAGTGTCTGTTGGGCCCATTTTTCAATAGATTTGTTACTGGATTCAAGATAGTACTCTGGAATGTAGTTTGGTAATAGAGAATGCAGCTTTGATGTGTTCATGTCAGTTCCATGTTCCACATAGTACTGCTGAGCTGCCATCATTGCCAGGTCTTCTTCCTAGATATGGATTCAAGAACTTGGCTAAACAATCTGTTAATTTTAACATAAAAAGATATGTTAGCAAAGAACAGGTCTCTTAAGTAAGAGTTATTCTTCTATGAATTATCCATTTCACAATAATAGGGCAAGTACCATAAAAGTTTGACTTTAGTAAGAGATATGTACAAGTTTAGAACAATAGCCCCAATTAACTCATGCTTGATGTATTAAAATTACATTAGAATTCCATAGTAGTGACAAAATTTGTGTAACTTGTTATATTATCTTATAGTGATGAAAAATGTTTATTTTGCTATATACCTTCATTTGAAGAATTTTTTTTTCAATTTTCTTAAAACAGTCACAAAATCTGTATTTCATTAAAGAAAAGATGAAAACAAATATTTTTTCCAACAAAAAGTGCTATTTGAAACTCCTGAAACTGTATCATCAGTTATGACTCACAGCAAAAGTTTAGGAAAATATATGATCAAATTACAAAAAAAAAAAGATAATAATAGTTAAAAATAACAAGACAGAAACAAACAGAAAAAGAAGGAAAATTCAAAACTTAGTTTTTGGTGCTGGGAACTTTCTCAAGAATGTAATTTATAATATCTATTTCTTTATTTTTGTACTGTAGTTTCTCTTCTTTTACACCTGTGTAACAAGGTTCCATTTTATTTATTATTTTTCTAAATAAAGTAACCAAAGTGTTTGTCTTCTTTCACATCTAGAGTTGAACATTCCCTGTTGATTACAACATAATGTGTAAAATAATCCAAAATACTTAAAACAAATATATATATATATATATATATCTTTTGTTTGTAATTAAGCACAAAGCTACACAATGGGCTATCTGTGCCCTGCCCACCACGGATATAGAAACCCGGATTCTAGCATTGTAAGTCCGCAGACATACAGCTGTGCTACTGGGGGGCATATATATATATATATATATATATAAAACTTAGTTGCATACTATAATAATCTATATACTTTGTTTTTCTATTATTTTTTCATCAAGGGAAAATATTTAAGGCAGACAAAATTTACCTTCTCACACCGGTACTCTCCAAACTTAACACCCCTCACTACTTGTTTAAATATTAAGTTGGTAGCCACAGGATCTTCCACAGGATTATGCCAAGGTGCAAAAATCTCTTTCCGGAAAAATATCCTCCAGGGTGCATTACGTTCTTGTGCTCCTTGTTCTTTGGCATACTGTTCACACTGAGATATTGCATCCATGATATGTTCACTTCCACTACCCAGGGAAGAAACCTGAAAAGTTGTCCTAAATTTTTCAAAATCTGTCTCTTCTCTAATATTTCAAGCAAGAACTTTTTTCTTAAACTCTTACTTACATTTTTTCCATTATTAAGGTAATTAAATCAAAAACAATAATGTTTCTTCTAGTGTTTTTCAAATCTTTTTTATTTCCCTGTGAGTATATCTATGTATATCTGTATTAAGTTTATTTATATTGTATATTCTCTTATATTCCAGTTGGTTCAATTAAAATTACATTATATCTTATTCAATTTGGCTAAAAATACTTTATATCAACACCTCTTGTATACATTTAAATCTTCTTCCTGAATCCTTTTCAAAGATGAGAAAATCATATTAAGTGTGTACTTAATACAGAAGGAAGGGAGAATTTATCATGAGCATTTAGTTATATTTATCTTTTATAGCTGCATGCTTTTAAAGTTTAAAACAGGTACTTGCAATTTAATCATTGTTAAAGCCATACTCATTGGATAACCATAGCCCCATTGAATCATATTCAACAGTCAACCACCAAAATTACTTTATCATAGTTACCAATATAATGCACAATTTTAGAGAAACACATAGGTTAACTTATTGTCAATAATTTATAATTAATTACACTTGTCACACGACATTAGCATTGGGCCTATTGCATTTTTTAATACAAAATCATTTAATCAGTCCCTTAGGGTTTTTCAAGAAGATGAACTGTTGTTAATAATTCAGTTGATTTTGTTTACTGTATATCGATATATAAATATCAAAGTGTATGCAAAATGATTTGATTGTAACTTTTAAACTATGTGATCGTAATGTTGTTTTATAAATGAGATAATGTACTAAACTGTGTCATTCAATAAGTATTTCAAGTAAAAAAAAATCTAATAAATGTGAATAAACTGACCTTGTCAAAAAGGGCAATGTATAAAGAGAAACCAAACGAATCTTTTAACTCAATCTTCTCAGCTAGCTGCTGACACAATTCTTGAGCTGTAGTAGCAGAATCTGCATAAAGATTTTTAGTCATTCCATCCATGAATGTAATGGACAATATAAGTGGTATTTTGGATTTTGTAGCCTGTAGTTCCAGCCATGAAGGGGGTTGAGTTCGGGTTCCATTCATGAGAGTCCTGCGTAACCTCTCCTCAATGTATGGAGCATAACCCGGCACACCTTCCTGAATGAAGTTTAGAAGGTACTTCTCGAACTATAACAAAATAATATGAAATTTACTGAAAAGTTTTTGTTTCTGTAGAAACTTATTAATATTAGAAAGAATAATATAGTATAATTTGAAACATAATACTCCTGTTTTGATGTCTATAAACTTAAACAAAAAAGATGAAAAAAAACCCTACATAAATGGGTAAACGTTATTCTGAAACTTACACAATTTAAAGACAAATTATTATTAAAAAACTAAAACAGAACCACAAAAAATTAAATTAATTCTTAAGGGAAAAAGCCAAGTGACAAGTGTAAGAACTGAATAAGTTTATATATAGTCTTATTTGCAAATCAGTTATCTAAAAAAATGTCAGCAGATCGTAAAGAATGCCAAAAAAGTAAAAGTGGACTTCAATTAAGATAATTCCTTTGGTGTCTTGATTTAATAATTTACTTTTCAAATTTCAACAAATATCTTTAAAGATAGGTAACATGTTTCCTACCTCTACACACACACACATACCTCACTTGAAGGAGCAAAACAGCCAACACAGAGAGAGAGAAGAATCCAACCTCTGGTCTGAGAACTTTTGTTTGGGTTGTTTACCAGTTGTTTACAGATTTGTACATAAATTTCATCTCTATGAAAATATTATCAGTTCTTTTATAAAAATCAGTACAACAAATAGAAAGGAGTTATAACTTTTTATATAGTTTGATTTTGACTATGTGAAAAGAAAGAAACTGGCACTTTGGTTTAGATATAAACTATTTTACAACTTCTGATAGTGAGCATGCACTAGTAGTCTTAATACTTAAACCTGACAATAAAAAATATATATTAAAAAAGAAGTAATCACATAATAAAAAGAGGTAGAAAATAGTTAATCTTTTTCTTTCCTTTTCTGTTAATGTATTTTACTTAAATGTAATTTTTCAATGAGCTATCTTTGTTGTGCCAACTGCAAGTATTGAATTAAGATTTATAAAGTTATAAGCTAGCAGACTTACTGCTGAGCTACCTGTGGCTAATTGTTAAGATATAATAAATATATATATCTATCACATGAAATTATAGGTTTCTATCTTAATATTTTGAATAAAGTAAATAACATACGTATATATTTTAAAATTATATTAGAATATGACAAAACATATCCTTTACTGACAGTATGATAACAATATAGAAATTTTAATTCCTAAAAGTACTATTTTAGGTTCATAGCTAGGATTCTCAAATTGTTTAACCTGAGTTCCTCACGTAAAATCCCATGACCAATAATAAAATGAAGCTTCTCAAGGTTAGATGTTGGCCGGCTCTCCAACCAAGTGCTATAAATGTCAACTGTATCATCATCCTCCTGTAGTCGACGTCTTACATCTTCTGTATATTTATTTTTTCTTTTCAGAGTCAGTGAAATCAGCTTATTTTTTATCTTCTGTGGCTCTACTTTATCCTTAAATCAGTAATCAAATAAAAAGTCAGAGTATTAAGACAAAAGTAAAAGAAAGCTATTCTAGAATTATTTTAATACTTCTTTTACAGTCTGACTTATCATGTACGATACATGAAATTACTTGAAATATTACACACATTAAAATATTTTTATAATTTCTTAAAAACTATGCAAAATTGTGTTTAGAGATGAGGTCGTAAGTAGAAAATGACTTAATTAAAACTTCAAAATAGATATTATAATATCCTTATTTTCTAAGACTTGTCATTAATCAACGATATCATGTGATGGGAGAATGTCACATGCAATGATTATACTGTCCAATACCTTATTTCAGTACTAAATTCAAAATTTAATTTTTTTTCAGTTCTATTTTTGAAGCAGGAGATTTCTTTATAAATTACTTATTAAATGTTCTTTTGATATTCTTTCAAAGCTACTGAATATTCATCTACACAAGCCATCCCTAATTTTGAACTGATAAACTAGAGGGAAAGCAGCTAGTAAACAGCATGCACTAGTCAGCTCTTGGGATACTCTGGTTTAACCAAGTAGTGGAATTTGATAATCATTCTCATAATGCATCCATGGCCTCAAAGTGTGGAGCTTTATTGTTATTATTTTTTTTTGGCAGTAACAGGATGTAAACAATGGACCTGTAGATCCATAGTTCAGCAGGTTAACCGCTGGGCCATTGTCAACCATCTTTATATGAGACTATATATTTTATAACTATCACACAAAGCTGGGATATCACCATAGAAACTTACACGTAATTGGCTTGCTATAGAAAGAATATGAATCATGAGAGTGGTTTTGGTGCTTTCATGAAAGATCCAAGACCCACTTATGAGCTCTGTGCATTTTGTCATTATGGGTCTAAATTTCAAGACACTATGATCTATATATTAAATATTTTTCTTATCAACACACAGCTACATTTATTACAGTTCATACTACCTTGTGTACTTTTCTGCTCACTTTATCAAATTAACACTTTTTTTTCAGTTTTAGTTTAAATGCTATTTTATTTTAATTAAATCAAGTTTAGTTGCCTTAACTTTTAATTTTCAATAAATCTGGACAATTAATTCAGTTTACTCTCACAGTTAAATTTATTTCAACATCCTATCTGTAAGTGAAGTGTATTTTTGTCTGCATTTCACCAATAATTCTAGTTTTTTTTTATTCCTTCGGGCCTTAAATAATATCCCATTTAATCCTTTCACCAGCCAAAGCCTCAGATCTCTAGTTATCATGGTGGTCAGGTGGTTGAGTATTTATATTGTGAGTACCAGAATATAACAGTTATAGAAATATATAAAACAGTATATATATAAAAACAAGAAAATAAACTAACTCTTCAACTATTTCAGATGGTGTCTAAGTTTTTATTTCATTTAGTACATCTATACAGAATTAAATGTTTTTAGAAAGTTAGAAAAAACTAAATTATACAAATAATAGATTTAAAGTTTTCAAATAGATTGACACATACACTTTTGTTTAAAAAAACAAGAAAACATTGACATTAATACAATGTGTTAAGTTCAGAAGAAAACTTTACAACTTACTTCATTTTCATGCATGATCTGTTGATATTCTTTACTCTTTACAAAACTTCGTCCTAAGGTAGCCGAAAGCTTGCTCATGACAGATCCAGTGTCCTACACAGTAAGTTTTTGGTTACTCAAAAATTATTTCCTTTTAAATGTAAAAAAACATTGTTCATTAGATATCATTCACATAACATTAAAAAACCTTTTGCTTGAATTGCCTTGACAAACTCAACTTTCACTAACTTAGCTTTAAGTAAATACATGTATTTAATCAAGAAACAATGACCATTAACTAGTCATATTGCATTTTTAATAAGACTGCCTTAGACAAACATTCAGCATTCTAACTTGTAGAATTTTTTTATTGATTTAGATAAGAGATTGTGACATAATACTAACAATCCCTCAAGCACAGTGTGAATAATGTGAGTTATAGTTCAAAATAATCTACTGGATATTTAACAAAGGAAATTCTAAAAGATGATAACAAACTTAAAACATATTGTAGATTTGGTTTTAAAAACTTCAATACTGTCAACAAATTACGAATGGGAAAATAAACTACTGATAACTGCTAATCACCAAGACTCATTTTTTGCAAACTTTTTAGAATTCACATAATTTTCATCAAAGAAGAAAAGTCAAAATGCTTCATTGTAAAAATATATTTATAATAACATTTAAAATTAGTTTTCACATTGAGAGAAATTCTATGCTTTAGCACTAAACTACATTTATTATTGAATTCAATAAATTAACTCACTGTATGTGATGTAACACCTCATTTGACTGCAAATTTTATTTTATTTAATCAAATTGTTATAAATTTTGTTTTTTCTTTACATTTACATTGTGTACATCTATACACATACGATATCCTCAAACTGATAATAATTCCAAAACCATATCCAAAATTATACAACTGAAAAACTAAATTATCCTGAAGAACTGAAAATTGGACCCACCTCTAATACTATATCTACATAATAAATTTGCCATGTCTTCTTAAAGCAATAGTTATATACACCAACTACATTTTTATTACCCTTTATTTTCAGTTTACATTATAAATCCTTATGGTGCAATAAACTGAAGTTCATTTTCTTTATTATCATATTAGGTATTTTTTCTCTTATTTCTATTGGATTTCTGTAAATCATTTTTTCTTTCAAACAGGAACTGAACTCAGCCATATTTTCTTAAAAGATACATAAATATGAAGTAAAAAATGAAAATCAAATACTCATATATATTTGAAAAATGTATTTTGTTTGAGAAAAAATTAAACAATTTTTTTAACTTTTAATTAAACAAACCATTTATAAAGTTCCATACCCTTTGTATTGTCCTGAATTTGGGCTCAGGCAAGTCACCCATGAACCTTAGAATTGTCACCCAAAGGGCTAGGGCAGCCTATTTCATAGAAAAGTAAAAGCACTGATATATATATTTGTATACATATATATATATAGCAAATATTATATTATAAACAAAATAAACCACTCAGTAATTGGACATGTTGAATAAAAAATGCTTATTATTGAATCCAAACTGTGTGTTTACATAGATGCTGAATTGGTATGTTTGCAAATGCTACATATCATAGATAAAGTAATTCTGATAGCATGCTAAATTCATTCTGTAGCAGGTCTGGTCAGGAAATGTATCTACTGTTCCATGGGACAGTTGTATTGTATCTTTTTCTTATGGCTGTTACATGAGAATGCATTGAAAATGCAAATTCTATGGTAAAAATGGCTTGACTATGCAAACTTTGATGAAATAAAAAGGTTGAGCATTTTTAGAATAAGAAACATGAACTTACCAGAACATCACTTTGTGTTGGTAGAGAAAGGAGAGAGTTCTTCAACTGCCTACGCTGATATTCGTGACTAAGGTTACCCTGAAAGTATGTTGCTGCAAACTTCTGGAAGGTATAATCTGTCAGGTCTTCAGAGTCTTTTGGAGCTAAAGGAACATTTCCCTCTGGTTGCAACTGATTGATTGTGTTTTTTCCTGAGAGTTCCAAATCCTGAGAAAAAAATAAGTCATTGACACTCACTTCATCTACTGGTCAAACATTAAGTAAACAATAAACTACTCTGAATGAATAATACCCTGAAACAAACATATAAAAATACTAAAAAGTTTAATTTCTCTAATATATTATAAAATTGAAAGACTATTTTCATCAAGAAGTAATAGTGAGTGAAGACAAAACAAGACTATATATTACATTGGTAGGTCCCAGAATATTTTAGTAAGATATAAAATGTCCAAAATACACATGGTCACTTAATTCTTAACTATATCACTATAAATACTTATCCCCTGCAAAGATGTCCTACATGTAATAATATACTTCAAACATTTAAACAAGCTTGTAAGAAACATTGGCTAATAATTTTCTAGTTAAGTATTGATAAAGAGTACAAACAAATGTTTTTTTTTGTAAATAAAAAAGGTTCAGTAAAGTCCATACTCAATCTTGAAAGTATACATATATTAATATGATATTACATTTTACCTATATGGAGGAGATATAAATGTTCACTATTTTGAAAGTGCTACTCATACTGATAAATATTTCTTTAAAACCATGTGGCATATTTGAAACTTACTTTAAATGCGGAAGGACCAGACTGTTCCAGAGGAGAGGTTTCTCCAGGAGGCAAGAAGTCAAACATGTCATCCACCTAAACAAATGACAAATAAAATAATATTTAATACACTGATTGCAAATTAGGTCGAACAAATGCATGCATTTGCATATACAGATATTACATAACAACATTTGCTGGATCTTGGATAAAGACACATAAAACAAAGCATGTAATAGGCAGTACTAGAAATCTTTGTTATTCAAACTGCAATCAACAGAAATTAATCTAAATGAGTACTAACTTCAAATTATTAACAAATTACCTAAGCCATACTTGAACTAGCAAAACAAATATGTGATAATGTGATAGGCCAAAGCAAAATTCTTAAGTCTTTAATAATTTTTTTCCAAAAACAGATGAAAAGCATCCACAAGCTTTGAATATTTTTAATATAAAAAATGTCAGTAAACTAACTAACATATCAGTACTATTACTAATCCCCCAAACTCCTGCAGAAAAATTGGGTATCTAATATAAGAAAGAGACATAAAATACCATAAAAAAAATGTTTCACTGCCAGCCCATCATAAATTTTCACTTCATTTCTTGGGTAAACTTTTTATAAGTATTTACTTTTTTGAGTCATAATTAAAAGCAATGAAATTACATTCTGATGAGCAGAAATACAAACTTCAGTATGGTTGGTTTAGATGATGGTGATCACATCTAATTAATATTGGTCAAAATGCCAGTATGGTCTTTTTTATAAAAATGTGGTAAGTCTCCATATTACCTGTTTTAATTATCACAACCTAAGAATTTTCATCAATAATACCTACTCTTTTTATCATTTCATTTAAATATATTTGGGAAAAACCTAACAAACCTGAATTCTCTCTAATCATCAAGCAAATTTCATCACCATAACTTTCAAACTTTAATAATTATATTCTAACAGCTTCAATCACTTCCAACTTCATTACCATAGAATACTAACTTTTGTCACCAAATGATATAAACTTTATCATAACCCACTATCTATTATCACCATAATCCAGCAAGAGTAATTATCCTGTAAACTCCATCATAACCTACCATAATTTATCACCATTATATACAAACTTTGATAATCATAATGAGCATAATCTTTATGTTATTGATCAACATAACCAATCAATACTGATCACCAAATCCTAACAACTTTGATCACTAGGAGCTAACAACTTTGCCAAAACACATTAACTTTAATTAGCATAACCTACCAAGTTTAATTACAACAACCACTTAAAATGAAACCTCAATATACTTGTTTCGACAACTACAACACCGTTGATACAACTGTACTAGGTGTATCTGATGGTTACCACAACATAGTAGATTTGACCACTGTGACTCTACTATGTACATTTCATGATTACCACAATATACTAGATCTGGCCACTGTGACTCTACTATGTACATTTCATGATTACCACAATATACTAGATCTGACCACTGTAGCTCTACTATGTACATTTCATGATTACCACAATATACTAGATCTGACCACTGTAGCTCTACTATGTACATTTCATGATTACCACAATATACTAGATCTGACCACTTTAACTCTACTATGTACATTTCATGATTACTACAATATACTAGATTTGACCACTGTGACTCTACTATGTACATTTCATGATTACCAAATATACTAGATCTGACCAATGTAACTCTACTATGTACATTTCATGATTACCACAATATACTAGATCTGACCACTTTAACTCTACTATGTGCATTTCATGATTACCACAATA